CTGTGGCTGCTGTTGCTGCTGTTGCTGCTGTTGGCTTCCCTGTGTACTACTCGGCATCGGCACCACCGCCCCGGCCTGGCTCATCAGATCCCAGATCAGAACCGTGCTGTCATCGCCCCCGCTGGCCAGCATGCCTCTCCGGTTCGGACTCCACTCGATGCAGTTGACCGCCGCGCCGTGGCCGCGGAGTTCGAGCAGGGCTTGGCCTGGCTGGCGGACGTCGAGGATGCGGATTAGAGGCGAGTCGGTGGACACGGTGGCGAGGAGATGAGCGTCATGCGGGGAGGCGGAGATGCGGAGGAGGGGGGGTGGGTAGGTGAGGGTCGAGTTGTTGGTTGCTGAGGGAGTTGTGGGAGAGTGAGGCGTTGGTGAGTTGAGGGACGCTGGGGTGGGGTTGTTAGTGTCATCGTAGTTCTGTGGAGGCGAGGAAGGGGGGGGAGGGGGGAGAGGAATGTGTACCATTCTTGTCGTTCTTTTCTGACGGTTCATAGATGATGGTGCTGTGCTCGAGGCTGCGTAGGTCGAACATCCGCACACTGCCGTCGGCGCCGCAGCTGACGAAGACGTCCACGCTCTGGGCGCAGAAGCGCACATCAAAGACTTCTTTGTCGTGGGCAATCAGTTGAGTTTTCGCTGTTAGAGAGGGGATGTCCCAGATTGTACAGGTTGTGTCAATGCTCGATGTGATGATTAGGCTGGGCGAGACAACGTTCCAGTCCAGAGAGGTGATAGGTGCTGTGTGCTCGGGAGATTTGGAATTCGATAACAGGGCGAGTGGTGAAAGCTTTTGAAGAGGCGGATCTCTCGAGTTGGTTGATCGGTTAATCGAGTTTGACAGGTGTTGTTGGTGGTCTGCCGGCAAGGACCATAATCGAAGATGGTCGCCAGAAGTGGCTAAGAGGTCTGTTGTGGATTTGTTCGACGATGGCGGCTCCCATAATATCCTCGTCACGGGATAAGAGTGTGTTGCTTCGGCCGTCTTGACGAATTCATATCCTCTTTCTCCGTGAGGATCATCAGGATCTGGTTGAGTTCTTTGCGCATCCAGTATTTGTATCTATGCCCAACATCAGCCCAAGTAGCAGACCAAGATTCAACGATTACCAACATAATTGTGATTGTCCTCCAGATAGCTGCCAAGAGCTATTTTACCAGCTTGCATGCTGTTCTGTTTTGACGGCCACTTGCACCAATCTACCGCATAGATTGGCCATGGTGTAAGGTAATTGCTGTTTGTCGGATATTGAGGAGCGTCAGCATCGGCAAAAACGGTTGGGCTCATTGGTCCATCTGAGTATCCTGTATCTGCACGAGGCCTGATATCTGCCAGTCCCAACGGTGAATACGAAGCCGCTCCTTGTGACATCTGAGAGGCATATGTGGGAGTCTGAGAACCAAACTTGTTAGATTCGGGCGCGTTGGTGAATGTTTTGTACTTCTGCTGATCCATCCCGGCTGGGCTGGACCTTGAATAGCTGTGGGTGTGGTTCAACGCCACGGACCTGGGTGCTTGTGACGACTGCTGCATCTGCGTAGACAGCTGAGGCAGAGTTGGGATAGAGCTGGGTGCAGTATTGCTTGAGAGGGTGGGAGGCCTATTCAGCGAGCCAGGCTGCAGGGCGCCTGGTATACTGGTTCCAGCTGAGGCATTGTTATACTGAGGCGTGGACGGTTGCAGGTGTACTGACAGGCCTTCCGCAGCATTGTAACGTGGAGCTGCTTGGTAGTGACGGCCCTCCATGTGTAGCTCTTCTGGTTGTCGAGGGAATGGAGGCGCTCTCTGGGCAGTCTCGTAATGCGCGGCCTGTCGACCTCCGGGTGTAATTGGAGCTGGTCCAATCGATGAGCCGTAGGTGGGATTCATAGCGTCGGAGCCGTTGGCGTCTGCGGTATCGTCAGGGGAGAAGAGGGCGCCATCACTGCGTGCCGGGGCTGATCCTGTGTCTCGCGAATGGCTTGCTGGTGCGCCAACTGATCCCAGCGTCTGGGAGGCCTGGAAGAGAGCGTTTGTGGTGGTGAATTGATTCTGCTCAGCATTCGATTGGCCAGTAGAGGAGAGGTGGTGCTGCTGGTGGATGTTGAAGGGCATGACCGACTGTGTCGTTGTTCTTCTCTGCGTCCCGTGAAGTATCTCAGCGCCGTGGCTAAGGAGCTTGCCGCCAGTCCTCACGGCCGCGCCAATCAACCTCGTCACCTCCTGGCTCTACTGCGGCTAAATTCAGAGGTCTACTACTTACGTTACTACGTACAAGTAGCCCAACAATGTACGGAGTACTGTGATTACTTCGGAGTCATATTTATTCAACTCCACAGTTCCCATTTGTCGACTCTCTTCCCTGCAAGCAGCGGCATCATGCTCACATCCAGTCTGAGTAGAGCTTCAAGACAATGATCAGCTTGGGCGGAAAAAGGTCCCATCTTGCCCTGTATCCTGGGATCCAATCAGATAGCACAAACAATGCATCCAGAGGTCTTCGTTCATATATGTCCAGCCCAGTCAAATCTGCTCAACGCCGCAAGCATCATACTCGCAGCAAGCGCGGCTTTCGCTCTCGGTACAGGGACTTGCAGGTATACGTATCAGTGATTTTTCCTTTGTCAGTGACGCTTCCTCTCAAGCTTCTCGTTTACATTCTAAACTGAAATCTTATTTTGACTCGGATTTCAAGCACAACATATTTGCAGTCGAGTCTCCTCGTGTTCCTTCACACTATGAACTTGCTGAACAGCACAGCTCCCACTACGGACTGCCATCTTGAGATTAACAACCAATTATCTACCCTGCACTTGAAACACGGCTACTCCCTTATCATTGTCCTTAAATCATCATCTGTCAAGTATCCTGCTCTACCCAACCCAGCACTGCCCTTCTCCAACATTCGCAGCGCAAAGTTCAACTTCAGGTGATTCGGAAGATCGATTACCCAGATCCACAGCTGGGCATGCACAGAAATGCACAGCGATCACCTGCGTTTCATTGAAAAGACGAACATGGCCAGAATTAGCGCAGCTGACATCCATATACAATCAACTGGATGGCGTTAGACGTTCGACACTGCCATACGGCCCACCCGAACCTCACTCGGCCCGCAACGCGTTCTGCAACATGTACAGCAGTGAATTTGGCTTCGATAAGGCGGTCATCAGCTACGGATGGATCCAAGAGTCCTTTCACAGCGTGGACCATGGAACGCAGATTAACGCGCTCATCAATGGCCGCTACATTGCTGCTAGATTTCTTGCACACGTCATCGAGCATATGGCAAGAAAAGTGACGAGAAGAACAGCAAGAACGAGGGGGCGAACGGATTATTGTGGAGAGAATCGACAACGCATGTGAAGATACCCTAAAAGCCGTCCCTGCATCTAGTGAATTTCGGGCGAACCTTTTGGCCAGGAAGACTTCCTCATGATTTGTGAACAAGGTCAAGGATCCCTCCAGTAGTGCTCTTCTCTAATCATTCATTAGTGCCAGTCACACCTCCGACCAGAGCAGCCTCGATTCGGAAATGGGAACCCTCGAATCAGCCTTCCGGAAAGCCGCTGTACTACGTAGTAGAGCATCAGCAGGGGGGTTGGGTAATCTTTGAACCCTGAACTGAGCGATCGGATCCGCACCATCTCTCTGCACAACGGTGGATTGCATCCACATGTGATGGAGCAGGCGAAGGGTAGAACCATTCAACTGAACTACAGCGGAGAAGCATAGGTCGATTTTGATGGGACTCGGGAAAGAGAAGGTGGGCGATACAACTTCTTACCTCAGCTGGTAATGCTTAAGCTATCTCATCTTGGTGACTTCGTTCAGCAGCCGTTTCGTGGTCAAATTACTAGCTCCAGGCTAACAATCCTTCTGCCTGGTGCTGTCGTTACTTTCCTGGTCTGTTTGGTGGTCTCTCGAGCGGCTACTTACAATCTAGCGGCACAGCCGAGCGCCAAACGACGCCCTAGCAAAGTCAGTCTCAACTAGCGTCACTCCAAGCGACTAAGTTTCGAACCCGCAGTTTGGTCCAAGTCCAGGATTCTGATGGATACAGGATTTAGGATTTAGGACTTCTCTTGCATGACTGGGAAGCATGTCTCTGAGAGCATTTCGGCTAGAGAGCCCTGCGGGCCAATGCAAAGCCTCTGGACGGTGGTGTGTATCTCATGCCAGGACCAGGTGGATTTAGAATGCCGAGCTACGAGCAGGTGGTAGATTGAACCAGACCATCTATTTTGATAATCGGCGAGGCAACTCTCTGCTGAACACGTTTCCAGCCTAGTTTGCGTCACTGTGTGAAAAGACAGAATCGTGATTGAGTAGAAACTGTATTGTGAGATGCATGTGTTTTTCAAGTTCAAGTTGGCAGTGTAGATGAGATTTTGCCTTGGCAGCCGTCGACGGTGGGCGATCAGTAACGTTAGTACTGTAGTACCAACAAAGAAACCCCATTTTACCGAGATCTTAAACATACCAGTCTTCCAATCAAGCATGGACGGGACTATATCCGCACTCCTGCTACTACCTCGACCTCCTTCTACACTTTCTTCCCCTAATGCAAGAGCTGCTTACAGACCCGCTATTGAACAGGCTCTGAAACACGTCAATGCTACCAAAACCTCTCGCTTAGATATAGCGATATCAGTACCACCATCCTGGCTTGATGGGCAGGAACCGCCGAGGACAGATGCATTTGAGAGGGCACAGAAGGCACTGGCCCAGACTTACAGCCTGATCTGTGCCACAGCGGCCAGCCAACAGATAGAGCTTGATTGCCTGGGTGGTGTTGATGTTCGTGCCTTTTACCTCCTTTCAGCACCGGAACCAGCCGGAGAGCTGGCGGATGGACAAGGTGCTGAAAAGCCATTTTCGGGTCCATTTGTCGATCTTCCCACTCTCGTCGAGTCTCGGTGTGCCTATGAGACCTTGCTAGGCGTTCAGAGCGAGGAAGGTGAGAGGCTTCTTAAATCGTTCCTGGTCTTCCACCAGTCAAAGCATCGACAAAGTCCAGATTGCCAAAGAGTGCCTGGTGGTATCTCCATCTCACAATCTTCCAATGCTTCTCCGGCTACACCAACCTCAGATAAAGCACATACCTCAGTAGCTGTCGGCGGCACCTTCGATCACCTGCATGTTGGTCACAAGCTGTTGCTCACCGCAACTGCACTGCTGGCAGAACCGAAAGGCAGCCAGAGAAATCCATCGCAGCGAGTGCACCTTATCATTGGGATTTCAGGCCACAACCTATTGACCAACAAACGGTTTGCAGCAGAGTTGGAAAATTGGGATGAGCGACAGCGGAGAGTAGCTGACTTTCTCGAATCAGTCATTGTCTTTTCTACTCCCCGCAGAGAATCCCGAAAACTGGTGCGAATCAACGAGCACAGTTCCACTGCCAAGTATGTCCGAGTCGAATTCGATGCTAGCCTCACGATCGACTACATAGAATTGGAAGATCCCTTTGGTCCAACAATCTCGGATGAGGCGCTGTCCGCGTTGGTTGTGTCGCAAGAAACAAGAGCTGGCGGGGCCGCCATCAATGCAAAGCGTCAAGAGAAAGGTTGGACACCATTGGACATCTTCGAAATCGATGTACTGGAGGTCACTCCTATGGGCGTGGAACCGAGTGTCACCGAATCGAGCCCTGCAGCCGCCTTCGAATCCAAGATCAGCAGCACCGAAATCAGACGACGCATACATGAGAACAAAACCTAATCATGAAGTATGCCACAGCGCAACTCTGCTGGTGCCATCTGCTGCGCCGCCTCGATGGGAGAGTGGGGGGCCCTTGAAATCCAATTCGTACAAAAATGCGGCACGTAACCTGGTAATACAGCGAGTTCTCACTGGTCCACGAGATATCGGTTATCATCGGGGCACACTTGATGTGGCCACTGGCCACAGTTTCCAGCCTGTCTTCCATGCGACGCAGTTGGCTTCTTACCCCCGTCCAATGTTATTCTCAAACCTCGCACGATCACCCTACGGCATATTCGATTGTGCCCTGCAAATTACCAAGCCCATTTATAGGACGGACGCAAGGCAGGCCAGTCCGGTTCCGCAGATTTTCTTTCAGGATAATTGGTCGGACAGCGTGTTTGCCATCTGGAATGAATAGTCAAGCAGCCAGATAACCACCATGGTCAGAAGTCAATCTAGAAACAGAAGCTGTACCAAAAACAAGTCTTGTGATATGTATTGATCCTACTGAATTTGTGATAGGGAATGCGTGCGTCATGGCCACACGAATGGGAGTCTGATGACAGCCTTTCGCTCCCAGACCCCTGGGCCCCGGAAGACGACTGCTTGCGCGGGAGCTGGTTCGGCTCGTCAAATAGCACATGTTGGCATTCTCTAGCGCCAACGTGGATGGAAAGTTAGTGAGTAAATGGCCAGCTCACCGAGCCACGGCCCGAGAGCCACGGCACAGAGAGGGCGTCTTTACACGTAGCGGAGTTTGCAACTGCCCCCATCCTCGCCGCTGTTTCTTGTCTAGCTTTAAGCCATCAAAACCCACCAGCTTTCAAGCACGTCATCTCACCACACTCGACCGTTTGGTCCGAGTAACCTAAGACAAAGCTGCAGCATCCGCGCAGAGAGCTTGAGTCCCGTGATGCCTTAGGATGCTCATCAGTGGCTAAGATTGGCTTTCCAAGTGATGCGTGGTGCACTGGTCTGTGGCCATCATTATCAGTGGTCCGTCTTTGTGCGCAAGACCCTGGATTGGGCCTGCTACACATTTGGAAACCGTCCGAAATCCTGATTGCTTCCCAAGATCCTTAGAGGGGCCCAGAACTAAAAAGACCCTTCTTCCTTTCAGGATTCGTCCGGGCGTTTCATCGCCTCTGTGAGGGTGCGTCGCGGCGTATCTGATCTCATATCCAATCGAAACTCAAAACTAGGCTTGCCTTTGACGGGCGCTGCTATCAAAGGGCAGACAAGCGAGCTGCCAAACGAGCGCAGGCGTTCACGTGCTGCTCAACAAAGCACGATGTTGAGCATCCGACGTCTGGGTGGTGTGTTTTGTCTGCCTCTCCTCCTACCTTTCCTACGCTTACCCTGAAATTATGTTTCGGCCCCTTTCGAGGTTGATATGTCGAGTAAGCTATACGTCTAGTGCTTTTGCAACCTTCGTTCCTTAAACAATCCTATGGCCCACAACCGTCCTCGCGGCGGGCCGCCAGCACCGCAAAAGCCTACTTTAGATGGACTGCCGGAACATTTATTACAGATCATCGTTGAGATGATATATGAAGATTCGCAAAGATTCGTTCCCATCGATCGTCGAGAGTTCTTGTCCATCGAAAGCTTCCCTCCCGTCCCGCCAGACACCTCGACACTCAGCAGTTTCCGCCTTGTTTGCACACAGTTCTCTGAGCTCGGTCTTCCCTACCAATTTGGAAGGGTGACGACCAGATTCTCGTGGCAGGGCTTTCAACGGTTGGATAAGATCTCTTCTTGTTCCCGCGCTGCAAAGTGCACAAGACGCTTCATCTATATGGTTCCATACTTTTTTGTAGAAGGTATGGTTCAAAGTGCCCAGTGGCAGGCAGTTGGCTGATGGCAAGAAGGCAGGCAACAGCTTACGGAACTCTTTCAACAACATCGACCTCGCAACATCTCCCCGAACGAGACGAACACGTTACACGTTCGGAACGAGCATCAACGGGCATTGGTCAGCTCCAGAGATGATGTCAGGAGTCTCACGAGAGCGTTCAAAGCATTTACAGCTCTACAGCATGTCCAGTTAAATCCAGTCCTCGATACGGCAATGGTACACCTGCTGAATTTTTTGGAGAATGGACAAATACAAGCAGGAGGCCTGGGACATCTAGTGCAACTAAAATGGGCACCAGCATGCAGGCACGGTCTGTACAGTTTAGGCCAGGCACTCGCTACCTCTGATTCAAAGTGCAACAAAATCTCCATACCTGCGATGGATCAAGAAGCCGCACTGGCACTGTGCTCAACCCGCGTTCCACCCCTTTCTACCTTCGCACACAATCTGACCTCATTAATTCTGCAGTTTGCTACTGCTGATGCCGAGAGCCTGTCGCGCTTAACGCCATATTTTGGAAGATTTCTTTCGAGAACTACTAACCTGGAAGCGATTCACATCGGCTTTCCTATGTCTCAGCCTCTAGATGTACGTCTTGAAGACGTATTCCATGGCATCAAATGGCCGAGGTTGAGAGCTCTAGGTATCCAGGCATGGCGCCTTGCACCGCAAGAGATAATCGGCATAGCACGGCGTCACAGGAAAACCCTTCGAGGTCTTCGGTTGCGAGAGGTCCTCCTCAAAGAGGGACGGTGGTCTGACATTCTCCAAATGCTTCGCAACGAAATGGGACTTCTTGAATGGGTAAGTCTACGCCGGATCGACTATGCTAGTCATTTCGACAACGTACAGGCAGGACAAGGATTTGAGATTGGTGATGAAGATGACGAGCCAGATCATCAAGCCTTTGGTTTGATGAACATTGATGCTAGCTCCTCAGATGAAGAGAATGACGCGGAAAGTGAAGGGCAAGGAGATGACGAGGCACCTGCGGTCGCTGGCGAGGGCGAAGGTAGTGGCGATGACTCGGGTGTATCAAACGAGGGATCTGATCATAATCCTGTCGCTGACCAGCTTGATCTACCTCTGTCGTCTGGTTCCACGGCAGCACGACCTCTGGAACCATCTTCTGCATCAGCTAACGGGCTTGGTGATAATGGCGTTGCCGTCGCCGGCAGACAAACGACGAAAGCATGGGAAGTATGGGTGACAGCTGGCAGCGCACACTGATTTTGTCACACACGACGCCTCGTTTGCAAAGCAGTACACATAACCCCCCGGATCGGTCGTCAGAAGCATGTCACTCGTCAGTATTCGCTAAGCATCGCCTCCTTCCATAGAGATGACCTGCTCGAGTCTGCCTTCGAGATTCCGATCTCCAATGACACTCGACCAGGCAAGGACTTTAAATATTCCAATATTGAAACGAAGTCAGTTAGAAGCAGCCTCAACATGCAGTGGCCCTTCCCTACTAGAGCGCAAATAATGTAAGACAACCTAGAAGGCGTATACCGCAGCCGACGCCGGCATGCTAAAAATCAAGAGAGCCCTCATGATATGCACTTGCGCCGATACCAAGAGCCTCTGACCGTGAGGAGGCAGAACATCAACGCGTCGTGCAAATGGCCCTGGCCCATAGGCGTGATGAGCAATCTTGGCGAGAAGAAGCCAGTGTTCGCGGCGCAAGAGTTTCAGATGACCCGCGTCCAGGTACATCAAAGGAGGGCTACCACCTTTATCAAAGTCTATGTAGAGACTTCAGGTTCGACCACATGTCCCGGCCGGTCATCAAGCGTATCCAGAGAGTAACGCAGGACCACCAGCAACAACTTTCTTCTTAGCAAGCCATCAGGGTAGAAGACAGAAAGCAGGAGAATCTATAACGACCAGGTGATGATCAAGAGGCCGCCTTCTATCAAAGGGACCCATACCGATAATCTCTCTTCCCGTCCAACAATTCTTGTTACTAGCTATCTTCAACGGCGACTCCATCGGAGCACGACCCGTGCCCCAGCGTTCCGAGAGAGGTGGGATCAACCTCCAACTCCTGGCACTAACTTAGTGGCCTTCCTTGAGATGACACCAGGCCGCGAGAGCAGCATGAGCAGCATGAGCAAGCATGGTGGAGATAAGCATGACATAACAAGCAAGCGGTGGCAAAGCCGGTGTGGACGTTCACTACTACCGCAATTTACCTCCACATGGATCAGCCTTCAGCTTTTATCCCTGCTCTTTCCCATCACAAGCCTACCCCTTGTCCACAGACATCAGCATGGCTAGTTTGTTTAGCAACCGGCACCTTTCATGGCATTTCTTTCCTACACGTACAGCGAGTGTTCAGAATTGCACACGTCGATTTCAGATAGCTGCAGCTAACGAACAAAAAGAGACCACCGATACTGACTCGACAAATATTTTATACGTTGCCCCCACCTCATTCTTCAGAAAGCAATATATATATATAATAAATCAGCGCCAAGTTATATTTTTAGTCCTTTCCCTACTTTCAGACTTCTAATTAGTGTCCAATTAGTGGGCATACACCCAACAACATACATAACCGCCTTATCTCATTACGACGTGTCACCATAAAGAAATATATTTAGAACACTTGCGACATACCGCATCTCAATAACATAACCATATCGAGCTCACAACAAAAATCGTCCAACTTGCCCCAGCCATGATCAATTTCCCTCCTGTCCAACCCCTAACTAGTCACCAAATCCCGAACAAGCGCCAATGAGTAACAGACAAAACTAATTTTGAGAGTGAAGAGTATGAAAGTCGGACAGACGTCTCAGGTTCCGCACAGAACCCTCTTCTATTCTATATCAAAGCATCACGCATCCCGCACATACACTCTGTCGAGAGCACCAGAGAATAGACTCGTACGGCTGCTTCCTATTCTTCCGGTTGAGCGGATCACCAGTGGTCCGAGGTGAAGGAGGAGGAGGAGGAGGAGGAGGAGGAGGATAGGCGGATTACCCCAGGGTCCTGAACACCAAAGCGTGGGTATTATTGTTATCGTCATCATCATAGATCCAGAGCTCGGAGTTTCTACTTTATCATCATCATCATCATCATCATCAGAAGAAGAAGAAGAAGAAGAATCAGAATCAGAAGAAGAAGAAGAAGAAGAAGAAGAAGAAGAAGAAGAAGAAGAAGAAGAAATGTAGAATTAGCTAGCTGCGCGATGTAATAATTATTGCCATGCCATGCCATACCATAGCATACCAACCCACCAACAAATCATCCCCAACCGACAGAAGGTAGAATCAAGTGAGGAAATGACGCTGTGGCTAAATGAGAGCACAGAAAGAAGGGGGTGGTGGTATCTCGATGAAGCCAAGGCAAGGCCAGGCAAGGCAAGGTATGCAGACCATACCCATCAAACCCACACACAGCCGATAGACAGATACCCATTTTCTCCGGAAGCGCCCATCCCTCCCCAGCCAGCAACTTGCTATGACCCCACGCGCGTACATGCAATCCAAATGTTCCCAAGACACAAAATGATGATAATGACTTCTCGGGAAGAAAAAGAAGGTTCAATCACCTCCCACCTCCAATATGGACTTTCTACCTCACCTTTGCATGCGCAAAGTCCCTTTCCTGGCCAAGATCCGAACATTGTCCACAAACCCCCTCACAAGATCCTCATAACGACTTGGTCTCCCCTCTCTGAGATTAGCCAGTTCTTGTCGTATAGTCTCAGTCGAGATCTCGATCTCGAGCTCGTGTTCGCGTTTGGAGGACTAAAACCAGAAGAAAAAAAAGTCAGCCATGGCCCTTCCACCCGATCATCGAGGGGTTGATATACACATACGTTCGGATATGAAACCTGCGTCAAGTCAATCTGATACGCAAGATGGCGATAGGAAACCCGATCCTTCTCTCTGTCCCCTGCACCACCGGCACCGGCATCGTTGACCTTCACCAATACATCGTCAGGCCCATCAAAGGGGCTTTCGATGCTAATACTGATTCGAAAATCAAAGGCCAGAGAAGGACAAAGGACATCGAAGTCGGCAATCCGTGACTTGATGATTCGTCGTTTCACTACCGGTACGGCTGCTGGCGATCCTGCGGCTGAGGGTGGTGGTTGCGAGGTGGTGATGCGCACTCGGGGACGGTGCTTCGGATTGAGATAGGTGCGAATTGAGAGAGGGAGGCTGGCTTCACCTGCAGGGGTGAGGGAGTAGAAGGTGTCTGTTTCGCGTGGGTGATCGTAGAACATAGGGGTTCGGGGTGCTTGTTGGGATTCGGCACAGAGAGTGTTGAGATAGGAATTTAGAGCTTTATGCTGTTCCTGAAGGAGGAGAAGCAAGGTCAGTGAGGAGGCAGATAAGGGTTGCAACAAACATTCATAAGCGGCATGTGGCAGGACTGTGTGACGATAGAGAAATACTTACGACGTTCATACTGGACTCGAAACGAGTTGGAGGACCGAATTGGTTCTTGTCAAAAATCGTCTCAGTCATGACGGGCAGCCTGATTCTTTTACCTTCTTCGATGTTGTGTATCTCTCCCAGCTTGGCTTCAATCTCGAAAACAGCGCCGTCGGTGGGAGGCTCAGCATTGCCGATGGTGTTGTAGATCATGTCACAGATGTAACGGGTCAATTCTTCATAAGGCGTTGAACCCATGATGGATGGCTCCCAATCACTCGGTTCTACTGGCACGGGGGCTGCAACTGGCACGGCCCGTATGGGTGCTGTGTGATTGCCACTACCATTAGTAGAGGGGTGCCCGTTCACTGCAGGTGGCACATGCGGAATTGATCTAATGTTGCCCTTCATGATCAATTTGAGAGGTGGTTTGTTTGGCCGAGCAGTGCGTGCGAAAATTGGGATTTCAGCACGCTTGGATCTTTTTCGAGGAGGTTGAGGTGAGGATGAAGAACCAGAAATAGCGCTTGCATTCCTTTTGAGAGCTTGGTGACGATGTGGAGTGGGACTGGATTTGTCAGGCGGCATTGCGTGGTTTGAAGGTGGTGTAGAATGTTGGACAGCAGGTCTGGGACTTTGCTGAGATGAAGAGCGGCGGTCAAGGTCTCTTGGTGTTGTGGATGTTGATGAAGGTAAACTGTCAACTCGTGGTTCGGCGGATGATACCAAGCGCGCATGGTCTGCTTTCGGTCCTGTTAATTGTTTAGGTGGCGGTGTCATTCTCGGCTGCAATCGTTCCATACTGGCTTGCCGAAGAGGGGATGGTTGGGGTATGGTCTTGGGGCTGACGCTGACGCTCTTTTCTCTCTCTCTTTCGTATGAATATTGCCTCACCGTAGACTCCCGGCTTGCTGTTCGTTGGTGCTGAGAGATATTTCTATCGCCGTAATCATATCCATGTTGTGATCCCAGGGACCCACCAGAGTACGTTCTCGTATGCTCCAGCCCGTACGAGGCTGCTCGTTGCGTTGCTTGCGGTGAGGGTTTTTGGAAAACTGCTGGTGGACCTAGAGGAGTTCCTGGGAGAGATGGTTGTGAAGGATGTGGGGAAAATTGACGTGCTGCGGAATGCTGTGGCCCTGTCAAAGAAACTGGGCTTTCTCGCAGTAGCCCAGAATGGGTTAAAGAAGCACCGGCAGGAAATCCAGATGGTGGACCTTGAATTGGTTGATATTGGTCAAATGGACCCTGGTTTGGCGCATGTGAAGAAGGAGAGGGCACAAAAGATGTAGGGTATTGGTTGTTGTACGCAGTTCCATCTCTTACTGTAGTCAACTGGCCCTGCCCAGGGCTTGATCCGATACTTGAATGGAGCCCAACGCTATTTATGCTCGAAGTAGATGCGAAAGTACGCTGAGATGGTGATTGCGCCGAATTGCAAACAGTGCCTGGAGAGAAGGCTTCAGGAGGCTGGAGCGGTGGAGGCTGCGATGGTCGCTCTCGCTGTGACGCCTGATGGGATAGAGAGGAAGGAATAGTGCCCTGATAAGAAGGATAAGTCTGATGTCGCGTTGGCTGGTGAAGGGGTTGTGGTGGAGTGGGAGAAGGTCGGGCCCCGGTGGACTCATTCAGCATGGATTTAAGATCCATGACTGAGCTATTGCGGAGGAGGTGAGAAGAATTTTGTGCAACTTTATGCCATGGCCATCAGATCATCCGGAACAACTGTCCAGTATCTGAAGCCATGAGCTTCCTGGCTTCTCGACCTTCCCGTCGATAAATTCTGGATGAAGTTAGGGGAGAGGGAGGGATATTCTCCTTCGGTCCCGTTATTCTCCTGCGGCGAGCTCGTCGCATTAAAAAGAAGCTGCTCCAAGCTTGGTCAAGCTCTCCCAAGCGTCAAGGGTTCACCGGCTCCCGCTTGGACGCGCTTGATGCCTGCCAAATGCCTGCCAAATGCCTGCAGAACCAAGATCGTCCTAGGCGGTCTGACGCCCATCTTTTGGGCACCTTTAAGCATCGGCGATTGGGTTTTTCAACAAACTCTCGCAAAAATGAGTAATCAGAGAAACATGCTCCGTGCACTCTCTGTTGCTGGGAGATTCTTCGTAGAAGAATGCACAGAGCATGCACAGAGAGCATGATCTCACAGTAGAAATATCAAGAGCAGTAGTTGCAATAGCTACATAGAATCTCAACCACAGACTTACGCCCTCCGTTGACCTCTGTGGACTTCTCATAGCAGTGACCCCGTCCCAGACAAGCTGCCTGTATGTGGTTAACAGCAATACCAGACTCAATAATTCTTACGCACATTTATTGTTGTACATTGTATCTATGATAGGCTGCTATCAGACACAAGCATTCATTTATGTGCACAGATGCCTCCTCTAAGCCTCAATCAATGCCAATCGCCAACAGCAACGCAATCCGGGCAGTTGATCACACCACTGTGTGTACGCGTTCCCCGGTCTTGGTGGCTCTAATAGGCTCTTCACCACTGCACTTCCCCCTCCAATCACTTGCACGGTGCAATGGTTGACGGGCAAGGGTCTCTATTGGTACTGATCTCATACTTAAATTCATGTTGTTGAAAGTCGGATTGTAGGGTGGCAACTTAACTCGATGTGTTTGGATAGGAATCACCATCGTTGCCATGCGCTTCAATCGACAGGTGGTACTCTGGTGACACGCATTGCAGCTATCCCTTTTCAATCAGTAATTGCTTCGTTGGTCATCCATTTTCCAATATCGACTCGGGACGATGATAGATAAGCCTATGCGAAACAATGCAATAATCATCGTTCGTTGGTATTGTTGAGACCAGATGACAGCCTCATTTCGATCCATCTGGCCAGCTCCACACACGGTGTGTCGACTGCTCGCCAGAAAAGGTCTGCAGCCCAGATAGCGATGGGGAGAATGACAAGCACCGCTAGTGCTAGACCAGAGGCAAACCCAACATTCGTTTCCTTTCCAGTCAATGACCAACACCTTAGAACAAAACCGTAGCCAAACCCATGCAATATCGGCCCATGTACGATGTAAAAGGCGTAGGAGATCTGTCCTAGGTACTGAGCAACCGCGGTTGTGAAGATCCTTTGTATCTTTGGCAGATGCATGAAAGACCATACCATGAGACAGCCGCCGATGGCTTGCAAAGGTCGACCAGGCTGCCAATTGTAAGGCTCCGGGACGAAGGTCGATAGATACATGTACCCTGGAGCATTGTATGGCTGTGCCGAAGGACAAGAATTGAGGAACAGGCCGACGAGCATCATAGCTCCCCAAGCCCAGCCAAACGAACGTTGGCTCCTGCTCGTGTCTTTCTCCTCGTCGAGAAGTGGGGTCTCCGTGAAGATGCCACTGATTAGATCTAGCTCGGCAAACATCATGCCGGCCAGAAATAGGAAGACCTCCCAACGCGCCCAATAAGCCAGACAGAGGCTGACCAGGCCAAAGAGCAAGGTCAGTCGAGGTATAGGGCGTACACGAGAGAATCCGAGGATGGTGACGAAGAGCACGATCGAGCTTCGAAATTCCAGAGGAATCGTCCAGAGATGTGGGTCGTAGTTATTGAAGTACAGGTCCCAGCACCATACATTGCTGACCAAGGTTCCCATTGAACGTAACCAGTCCGAGCCCTGCTCATAGATGGTTGAGTAAAGTACAGGATGTTCCTCATTGGTACCCTGGTAAGTTACTGGGTCGGTGCGTTCACCTTTCCCGGCCTCGAAATAGCCGGCGTTCGTGAACAGCATGGTGATGAAGGTGCCAATCATGGTAGGTGCGAAGAGCCTAATACCTCTTCTAAAGACGGACGATGAGAGAACACGCTGCAGTTCTTCGAATTTCCCAGCTCGCATCAATCTCATTGGTTTGTGAGAGAGGACATAGCCTGAAATGACAAAGAAAACGATCACCATAGCATGACCCGCGTATATCAGCCTGATGAAGGGCAGTTGAAGAGGCGACTTTTGATCATTGCCCTGGTACTTAATCACCTCCTTTTCCTCGAGCCTTTCCGTGTCGATCACCGTCCCCCAAGAGACATCCGCGCTGTGAGTCCACACGAATATAAAGTGGTAATTGAAGACTATCAAACAAGCCACCCCTCTGAGACCATTCAACGCGGCAAGAGCCTGTTTTCCTCTGGAGAGCGGCAGATGCGTGCTTTCCACCCTTTTCCAATCTCGCATGAAGCTTGGTAGGAGCGCGGCGCTTGATCGAAGGCAAATCCGTGTAAGGGTAGCGACGTAGGAAAGAACATGTTGAAGCATTGCAGAGAGAGATTGGTCCTTTAATGGAGTCCCCAGGTACGACAGTCGGAAACCGAGCGGAGAGGAGAGGCTCGACAAATCATCATCACTTCCATGGGGAGTGAGGGCAGAGTCAGTGGAGGACCGAAGAAGGGATTGTTCGGCAGACATGGTGAATTAAGAAATGGACAAAGGCACTAGGTCTACGACAAACAAAACACAAAACACAAACAGCAGCCTTGAACACCGGCAATGGATGGACATGAAGAGGCCCAAATATAAGGAAGTTTAGGAAACAAAACACTGAGGAAGGTGCAAGCAAGGGGGATGGAAGATAAAAAATTTCAGGAAAGGGGGTGGACCGTGGCTTGCAGACGCCCTCCACGCAAGAGGCATCTTGGTGAGACTCAGAGTGCCCCACATAAAATAGATATGTCGTTTCAAATCTGACCAGTGGGTCTACGAGTAACTGCAGTGGGAGTCAGCGTTGATGCTGTAACAGTTGCTGAGCAGTGAACTCGCGAGTTGAGGTTTGAGATCTACGGACCGGGGCGTTAAAAGTGTCGAGGGGCAACCAGCGTGTCAGAAAGGCATTTCTACCAATGATGGATGGCCTAGGTACTGGGAGTGGCATGTATTTGTCCATTATGCACAGTCGTTACGGAGTACTGTGCTCTGCTAAGTCACAGATGTAGTGATAATCGCTACATTTATGCTCGAGTAGTTATTAAATTTTGTAAACCTCAGTTCCCTGACCCGCGTTCTCCACCATAGTAAATAAAAATACGAGTCTTTCAGACGGAGTAAATCATGAAGTCCCTTCAAATGTCTTCACTGTACTGGTAACTCGACGGATATTAGAGCATCGCATTGCCTCATCCTGCTAGCACGTTCCTCGGGAGCTGTTTGATCTGTGATTACTGCTTGAATCATCCGATTAACCACAGGTTTTACAATGTATTCGGATGTGATACTACATAACTTAAAAGTAGTACTAACTACTCCGTACTACTACGGCTACAGGCCTAATTTTTGTTACCCCCCTTACTAAAAGCATTAGTATCCGTACAAAACGTACTATAGAGAATTAGGAATAGAGCCCGCCAAATGGCCTAAGTAGGACTGGTCTCTGAAATTAAGTTTATACATTCCATTGGCATCTGTAACTGCTTGACATTTTGTCTGTATCCACTTGAAGCAGCTTCTTAAGATAGTTAGAAGACATAGCATCCTATAAAGCATTTAACAGCCGCTGTTCTATTATTAAGCTTAATAGTATCCACTCAGAATTGGTAGAATGCGTACAGAGTAAAATAAGCAGAATTTGCAGGATGAACAAAATTCGTGCAAAATAGTGACAGGGATGCTGATAGGGATATGTATGTAAAAAACGCGTTTGTAAGATATCTTGACCAAGGGAAGGAACAAAAATAAAGCCTGTAGCCGTAGTACTTACTGGTAGTGAAATCTTCGAGATTGGTGCTTGGCGCCAGGTCAGAGGGAGGCTCCAGGTCACGTGGTCCGGTTCATGCAAGGCTTCCGGAACTTGACGTGGCATCGCTCCTAGTAAGCAGTTGATCTTACGCCTCGTGCGCGTTGACATCTTTCCCTACGACTCCAGCATCAACGATATTGCCGGCATCACGGGCGGCCAGCATCGCCTCTACTACGCCCAAGTTACTCGTTGCTGCCATCCTACACGTGCACACGATCTTCCTCTTGTGTCACTGCGCAGCTCCCGATAAGCGGTTCGGAATAGCCCTCTAAATCACTATTCCAGCTCTTCTTTCAACATCTACTTCGAATCGCACTGTCAGGTCAGATGGTGGGCCTCATCTCTGCCGCTGGCCTTATTGGCTTCCTGGCCGAGCCAGATCCGGAGCTCAGAGTTTTTGCCCTCAAACAGCTCGATACTCAGGTTGATCTTCTCTGGACCGAAATTGCCAACTCAATCAGCCAAATGTAAGCGCCTCGAAATTCCAATCTGTGTAGCTAGCAATAATCGCTAATCCTAACACTTTCAGTGAAGAGCTATATGAAGATGAATCCTTTTCGGAAAGGGAGCTCGCTGCTCTCGTAGCCGCGAAAGTGTATTATCACCTTGGAGAATATAATGAAAGCATGGCATTCGCCTTGGGCGCTGGGAAGCTTTTTAGCCTTGATCAGACTGGAGAATTCGAAGACACGATCATTTCGAAGTGCGTTGACACTTACATCGCACTTTCAGCAAGCCGGGATCCTTCTCTTGCTGCCACCAGCAGCAACCAACAGCCTTTACAACTGTCGACTGCCTTTCCTCAACATGGTGATGGTGCGGCAAATACTGCGGCAAGTCTGACTTCACCGACCACTCCATTCTCCCAATCGGCCTTGCCTTCAAGATCGCTTCTGTCCCGCGAAAATACCGCCTCTTTCGACCAAGCCCCTACCGATACTGGTACTGGTCTGCATGGTAGCCCCGAGTCTATCATCCAGCAACGCGGAATACAGAAGCAGCTGCAAAGAATTATCGAACAGCTTTTTGAGCGATGTTTCCAATCAAAGCGATATCGGCAGGTTGTAGGTATTGCCATCGAGGCACGAAATCTTGACATCCTCAGGCGCGTCATTCTTCGGGCCAGCGAAGACGAGAAGAAGGAAAGTGGTGAAGTCACACGGTACGGAAAGGAGCTCATGGATTACATCCTGGATATTTGTATGAGCGTTGTGCAGGAACGAGGATTGCGGAACGAGGTAGGCTGACCTCATACACACCCACACATAGCTTGCTGACTCCTTGCAGATTCTGCAGTTGATACTAGAACTCCTCAACGACATACCTTCCCCCGACTATTTCTCGATCGCCAAATGCGTAGTTTACCTGGATCAGCACTCAATGGCATCGGACATACTGCGGCAATTAGTGGAAAGAGGTGATGCTCGATCACTTGCAGTCGCTTACCAGATCTCGTTTGATCTCTATGACAATAGCACACAGGAATTCCTAAAGAAAGTTCGTGCCGAATTGGAAGAGCTCATTCCATCCGAAGAAGGGTCCAAGCCTGTCGAGGAGAACACTGATGACAAGATGGAAGCTGAAGCAGACGATGCCCAGGAATCTGATCGGCTCCTACAACAACCAGAGGATCAGCCCGCTGCGCCGAAATCTTCCTCGCTCGAAAATGACGCTAAGTTATCCAAAGAGGCTCGAGCAGCTGTTCGTGCGGTAAGACAGATTTTGGATGGCGTCAACACGATTCAACTGAGTCTAGAATTTTTATTTCGAAGCAATCGTGCAGAGATGTCGATCCTCAACAAAGTAAAAGACAGCTTAGAGGCCCGCAACTCGATCTACCACACCGCAGTGACATTATCCAACGCCTTCATGCATGCCGGTACCACCCACGACAAGTTTTTCCGAGACAATCTGGAGTGGTTAGGAAAGGCCGTCAACTGGTCCAAATTCACCGCAACTGCTGCACTTGGGGTTATACACCGAGGCAATTTGACTCAAGGCCAAAAGTTACTTGCTCCATACCTGCCCAAGGACAACCCATCTGGAGCACCCAATACGGGCTCATTTTACAGCCAAGGTGGCTCGCTGTACGCCTTTGGCTTGATATACGCGAACCATGAAGGCTGGGCTGTGGATCTGATCAGGGACCACTTCAAGAAAGCAACGGAAGAAGTTGTCCAGCATGGCGGAGCCCTGGGTCTCGGTGTTGCAGGTATGGGCACCGGGGACGAAGGCATCTATGATGATCTCAAAGGTGTGCTCTATACAGATTCGGCTATCAATGGAGAGGCGGTGGGTCTGTCTATGGGCTTGATCATGCTGGGTTCAGGCAATCTGAAAGCTTTGGAAGACATGATCCAATACGCGCATGACACCCAGCACGAGAAGATTGTCAGGGGGCTGGCAATGGGTATGGCCTTGATAATGTATGGCCGCCAGGAGAGCGCAGATGAACTCATCAATGGCTTACTGAGTGATCCGGATCCGACTCTACGATACGGCGGCATCATGACCATCGCTCTGGCATATTGTGGCACTGGTAGCAACAAGGCGGTCCGAAAGCTCCTTCATGTGGCGGTTAGCGACGTTAGCGACGACGTCCGACGCGTTGCCGTCATGAGCTTGGGTTTCGTTCTATTCCGAAAGTACAATAGTGTCCCTCGCATGGTCGAGCTTCTTGCTGAGTCTTACAACCCGCACGTTCGTTATGGTGCTGCGATGGCACTTGGGATCTCCTGTGCCGGTACTGGTCTTGATGAGGCCATTGACCTGCTCGAGCCCTTGCTAAAAGATCCCACCGACTTCGTTCGCCAGGGTGCATTGATCTCGTTGGCGATGGTCCTCATTCAGCAAAACGAGGCCATGAATTCTAAAGTCGGCACCATTCGAAAAACAATGCAGAAAATCATCAGCGATCGTCATGAAGACGCGATGGCCAAGTTTGGCTGTGCCATTGCTATGGGGATCATTGATGCGGGAGGTCGAAACTGCACCATCAGCTTACAGACCCAGACTGGGAATCTCAACATGCAGGGCATTGTGGGCGCCGCGGTCTTCACACAATACTGGTATTGGTTCCCATTGACACATTTCCTGTCCCTCAGCTTTACCCCTACCGCTGTGATAGGTGTGGACCAGAAGTTGGAGGTGCCTGTGTTCAAGTTCCATTGCAATACTCGGCCAAGCTTGTTCGACTACCCACCTGAACAACAAGCCAAGACCGACGAAGCTCCCGAGAAGGTCAAAACCGCGGTATTATCGACCACAGCGCAAGCCAAGCGAAGAGCGCAGCGCAAGGAGAAGCAACAGCGGCGGGAGAGCATGGATGTGGATCAGCCGGCACCACCTACACCCAAGATTTCGACAGGAGACAAGGACGAGGACAAGATGGATACAGACGAGGTGGCTGTCAAAGAAGACGACGCCAAAGAGACGGAGAAGAAGGACCCCAAAAACGGAGAGAAGGAGAGTGCGCCAGCGGAGGGTCTCAAAAAGAAAATGGAGAAAGAGAAGGTGGGCTATGAAATGAAGAACATGTCGCGGGTTCTACCTGCTCAGCTCAAGTACCTCACCTTTACCGATTCTCGGTACGTTCCAGTCAAGCGACCGACAGGTGGCGTGATCCTCGTTCTCGATACTCAACCAGAAAAGGAAAGAGAGATCATTGAGCTGAAAGCTACCAAAGTGGAGACCAAACCAGCGCCTGCAGCACAAGGGCCTGCCTCTCAAGCTCAGGGCTCTGACCACGCAGCTCCGCAAACCCCAGCTCAGCAGCCGACGACTAATACAGGTGGAGCAGCTGCCGCTGCTGGAGTCTTGACAGCCATAGACGAAGATGAAGAAGGCGCTGAGGAGGCGCCTCTACCTGACGAATTCGATTACCATTCCGACAATGAGGGAGATGGAGAGCAGTAAGTGGGCAAGCTTTTCGCCTAGTTGGCGGCCCATTGTATTATCTAGAATTACTTCAGCCCTGCAGGGATGTTGAGTGCCTGCTTACGCAGCATACCCAGTCGCCATGTGTTTCTACCTAGACAATAATATCCTTGACCTGCTCATGCTTTCTACCTGTTTCTTAACCAGGTTCTCTGGCCAAATCACGTGTAGATATCTAGTTGTCCAGGGATACATGTGGTTCTTTGCTCTAACTCGTAGCCTTTTTCGGTACACAACACGCGGAGATGTGACAACCTCGGCATCGAGAGAGGCTCGGCTTCTTCTACAGCTTGTCCTAACTCAACCTTGGTGTCGGACATGTACCGGATTCTTTACAATCACTTGACCCTGCTGTGCACCAAAACTCGACGTTCCCGATCAGATGACCGCTAGTTCAGACTCGTGAAAGCTGTAGTTCTTCGCAATCAGGGTTGGGTTGTGTGGAGAGGCCCTATCACCTAGTCCTTGAGCTTGGCCCGCGTTCATCTCAGCCGCTGGCATGTGAAGGTTGAACTCCGCCAGGAACCATCAATCTGCCGAACAATAACACCTACCCTTCGCTCTCCTTTCGCCCTCTCCGTCCCTTCGACTCAGTCAGGCTTTCATCACCTTTTGCCCTCTCTGAATATCTTTGCTCGCTCATACAATCCTCGTAACCATGTCCAAAACCTTCTCACAAAACGATGTCGCATCGCATAACAAGGGGGACAACTTGTGGATCATCGTTGATGAAGATGTCTACGATTTGACCAAATTTCAAGAAGAACATCCTGGTAAGCCGATCGCCTCCTGATATTGCTATGTTCCCTGCTGACAATTTACAGGTGGCAAGAAGAGTAAGCCTCACACGAAGACAGCCAAGCGGACCACCTTCTAATGATCTTCTAGTTTTGCAAAGAGTAGCTGGCAAGGATGCTTCGAAGCAGTTTTGGAAATACCACAACGACAGCATTCTGAAAAAATACAAGTCACAATTGCAGGTTGGCTCACTTGACAGCAAGAAAGCCGCCGCTGCTCCGCCAACGCCACCGGCAACGCCTCCGCCGACAGAAAAGAAGGAGAAAGTGGTGCCATCCGCAGAATCGGGCACCGTCGCGCCAGTTCCGGGCCCAGCGGCCGTGGAAGAGGCCGAAGCCCTCGATTCATATGGTTCCTTGATTCCATTTGCTGATCCATCTTGGTATCAAGGTGTACGTTATAGGCAGCCTTGAAGGGTAAAGAGACTACAGGCTGACGTGACGACAGTATCACTCTCCCTACTTCAACGAAACACATGCCGCTCTCAGAGACGAAGTAAGGCAATGGGTTGAGAGCGAGATCGAACCGAATGTGACTGAATGGGATGAAGCAAAGAAGGTACCAGAAACGATATACAAGCAGATGGGCGAGAGAGGATATCTTGCTGGCTTGATGGGTGTACATTATCCGACACACTTAACCTCTACAAGAGTCAAGAGCGTACCTCCGGAAAAGTGGGATCTCTTCCACGAAATGCTTTTGACAGATGAGATTTCACGATGTGGAAGCGGCGGTCTCGTGTGGAATCTCATTGGCGGCTTTGGTATCGGTGGCCCTCCAGTCATCAAATTTGGTAAGAAAGAGCTTGTGCGGCGGATCCTCCCAGGCATCCTGGCTGGTGACAAGCGCATCTGCCTCGCTATTACCGAGCCTGATGCTGGAAGTGATGTTGCCAACCTGACATGCGAAGCTAAGCTCTCTGAAGATGGCAAGCATTATATTGTCAATGGAGAAAAAAAGTGGATTACCAACGGAATTTGGTGTGACTACTTCACTACTGCTGTCCGCACCGGTGGACCAGGCATGAATGGTGTCAGCGTACTCCTTATCGAGCGAACCGAAGGCGTGAGCACGAGGAGAATGGATTGCCAGGGCGTCTGGAGCAGTGGTACTACGTACATCACGTTTGAAGATGTGAAAGTGCCAGTAGAGAACTTGATCGGCAAGGAAAACCAGGGATTCAAAGGTGAGTCGCACCCCTTTCTGCCACCTGGCTATGCTCTAACCTGATACAGTCGTCATGACCAATTTCAACCATGAGCGCATTGGTATTATCATCCAATGCTTGCGATTCTCCCGTGTCTGCTTCGAAGAATCAATGAAGTATGCGAACAAAAGAAAGACGTTTGGCAAAAAACTGATTGAGCATCCTGTCATCCGCCTGAAGCTCGCCCACATGGCTCGGCAAATTGAGGCCTCCTACAATTGGCTTGAGAACCTTGTCTACCAATGCGAGAAGATGAACGAGATGGAGGCTATGCTTAGGCTCGGTGGTGCAATTGCCGGCCTCAAAGCGCAAGCTACAGTCACCTTCGAATTCTGTGCTCGAGAAGCCAGTCAGATCTTTGGCGGCCTCAGCTACAGCAGAGGAGGTCAAGGTGCTAAAGTGGAGAGACTCTACCGAGATGTGAGGGCCTATGCTATTCCAGGTGGAAGCGAGGAGATCATGCTGGATCTAAGCATTCGACAGAGCATGAGAGTTCACAAGGCACTGGGTATGAAATTGTAGTACACGAGGGACTTGTTTTGTACAGTTAGGGATTGTTGCTTTGCTGGCCACCACGTGCCGCTGTTATCGGCCACCTCAGCATCAATACTCACGCCAAGTTATAGTTATATCATGTGTGGGCATTAGTTAAAGAACAATCTTCACAGAAAATCTCGCAACTTTTCTCCTTGCATCCCGCGGAATGCACACTGATGCATCATCCAAGGTTCCAGACACCTATGCTTTGCGGACGTCCACTTTCTACTATGACCAGTTTCCGCCCCGCAAGCAAGGCTGGAATCTCGTTCATGAGTGGAGGCTGGCCAATGCTCAGATACTGACGACATGGAATGCTCGCGTCGTGTTCGAAAGTTTATTCCTGATCTCCTCGAAGATTAAGCAAGTAGATGGACCCTTCCGATTGGTATGACCATGGCATGATCGCCGCGGATCAATTCATGCCCACCGCCAATGGCTTCACGATGACCTCAAATGGTCCCTCTTCTGTTGGGGAGACATCCCGAAACCGAAGGCAATCTGCATCAATCTGGTCAGGCGTCTTCACTGACTGTCGAGACTGATATCACAGCGTGGAGTCCGATCGATCGTTCAGACCCACGCTATGCATTGACTAAGATCTAGCCAAGGGTCGTGAGCGGTGGAGTAAGTATATCCACTTAAATTGTCCCTGAGCCGCTCTCCAATGATGTGGCTCTCAACGTCAGACTGAGGCCCACTGCGACGATTTCCATGGTCAATTTTCAAAGGAGCTGATTCATTTGGGCAAAGCATTGGACAAAGGTCTCCAGGGCTACGTCAAACTACCAATTATCACACTGAGATGTGATTTGTTCGATCATCTGCCATGTTCTAACGTCACAAGTGTTTGCTAAAAGACGCATGGATGAAGTTCTGTATCCGCTGTTAGTACTAATCGAGATTGGTACTGCTAGCTATCGATCATGACCACGGGAACACTGTGATCGTACCTGCATACGGGCCATGTCATGACGGTGATGATGAAATGATGATGTCTGTGGTCTGCGCCTTCTTTGCTCAGTAATGTCAGCAGCTATGTTAAGAAGGCAAGTGGTAGCTGAGACACAGAGTATATAGAGCTGGCGGTTGGATCACTTTTCTCTGACAACTTGTTTCCCCAAACCAAATCATAATCCAAGACTACATCAAAACCAAACCGAATTAAACATGTCGAACTACAAGCCTACTGGTATGTCTACTTCAATTACCCTTGAACCTTCCCCTTCAACAACGAAGACCGTGCAATCGGAACTTCCTCATAGTTACCTAGTCCTTCCCTCGATCGTTACTGATTTTCCTTCCAGAGCACGACGGCCTCAAGGAGGATGGTACTGAGGACAAGCGCGTCGGTACCGGAGAGTTTGCCCATGGCAAGGTTGATCCCTCTGAGGCGGGCAAGAAGGGTGGTGAGACTGGTGGTAGTGCCGGTGGCCAGGCCAGTGGCGGTACCAGCGGAAGCGGTACCAGTGGAAGCGGTCAATTCGCTGGCGGCAAAGTCGATCCAGTCGAGGCAGGAAGAAAGGGTGGACAGTCATCTTAGCTGTCTCACTACACACTGTTATGAAAAGTTCCTTCAGCCCAGTTCTCAAGAGCACTTCAAAGGCTGCAAACGTGGCTAATCAATCCAATCTCACTTTGGTCACTCAGTAATTTTTCCCTGACGCTTGTTGTAAACTCCATACAATTGTGCTTATTACTCTTTCCATGCCATGGCACGTATTGCTTGGCATCAGAATCTCTTCTATTTGTTCAAAGTTGATCAAGATCCGCAGATGCAGCAAAATGTCGGTTTACAGTAGAGCGTTCTGATATTAAAACTTTAGGCAAAACATATACCTGCACGATCTCGACCTTGTTGTTTGCTGCTCAAGTAATGGCCTCTTTGCAACCCTACTAAATGATTGCATAACTGTTCTCTTTGAGATACGTATCCACCAAGATTTCAAACCAGTGGAACTAGACCAATATGTCCCGTTACTGTCCTTTACTCATCTACACATCGGACGCATACACATGCAGCACTTCCCGAAGAAATTGCTCCGTCCCATTGAGCATCTGATTCGAGACAACGGAAGACTTGACCGATCACACAGTGTTCTCGTCTCGAACCCACACAGGCGGCAGAACGTTCACGGAACCTCTGACATTCGTGTCAGCCGCTGCTCATGAAGGAGTAAGTGGCCTGACGAAACTGCTTCTGCGGACTTTACGTCCGTAATTCTCATGAGCAAATGGGTCGGGGTCAAATTACTTTTGGACATGATGTGTCTGCAAACAGACTCGGTGCGCCTCAGCGGATGTCCCCTGTACTTCCCCGAAATCAGGGTCTAGCTAAATCTTGGCTAGGCTCACTTTTAGGGACCGTTAAGGAGTTCTTCCAGCTGTCATACTACGTATGCATCCTATCATTAATTATTGCAGAGGGAGGTTTTGCCAACGCACGTCCCTCCTCGTACTTGTCTCCTACCTCAGCATTTGGCTTCAAATCATGGGCTGAAATTGATTAATCTTGGATTGCGCACAGTTTCGGTATTCCCGCCACGGAGAAAGTTCAAACTATCATTTCTCAGTGATCTCCTGCTGGTTGCGAAAACAGGTCAAGGCTGCCACTGCCGACTTGGAGAATGGTCACCCGTATCTTTGGTTCTTCCTTTGGTTCTTCCACTGTTATCTGCCTTGCCGTGTCGATGTGCTGAAAGGTAGAGTGGCTGAGTAAGATGATCAAATCGGAATTACCTGTAAATACTTATAGGATCTTACTCTTACGTTGAAAGCCTGGTTATTGACCCGGAACCGTAATCGGCCGGTGTGCATCTGGGAACTTGAGGTTTCAATCGGTGATGAAGCGCAACACGATGCTCTAAAATTGTCCTTTTGTCAATGTCTAATCAGAGTACGGAAAAGGGTAATGCAATTTTCAGAACCACCGCTCGTTCAGGGGCGCCAGTTCATGCTTCCACTCTTCAGAACACATACGATCCCAGCAGATCTTCAAGGCCTATCCGATCTGGTACACGGATCTACAGGTACGCGATGGATTAATTCGATCGTACAGAGCATCGTGAAGGTCGATCCATGGTGGATATCGACTAGATGTCAGACAAGCAAAGGCCGGTACCCATCGGAGCAGCGCAGCCTTATTCATCATCATCAATACTAGCATGTGATCGTGACTTATTGCCCTTTTCAGCTTGCTTTGGCGGATTTTGTCGAATGAGAAGGCCGTGTCTGCGCCATCTCTCACTGGCCACAATCAAGCGACGTCAGCGGGGTAAGTAACTCTGTCAAGGCGGGGCACTGCAAGTGCACTGCTCATCAAGCAAGAGTCCGAAGCAAGTCATCGAAGCTTGTGTAAGCGTCCCATCTTACTCGCCTAACTTGCAGCATTCTTTGCAGGGCTTCCCGCTTTGGTATCACCACGGGCTGAATGCTCCCAAGTCTGCGCTTGCAAGTGCAGAATGAGGAGCCTACAAATAGCAACGTCTTCCCGGGCAGTTCTGGTCTCGCAACCCATCATCCACACGACCATTTCCCTGTATCAGTAAACTTCCAATCGAACAATCCTTGAAGATATTCGGTGTTTCTACAGCGATATAAACCAAATTCGACCAAACATCAACCCAGCATCTGCCAACATGTGGATGAAGCAAGTTGGCTACAAGCCCCGTTCCAGTTCAATGTCCTCAGCTACCAGCGATACCGAGGCGAACAAGGTCTCCTCAAGCAACGATAACCAACTCAGTGGAACTGTCAAACGTGGTGGAACAAGCGACACGCCCAGCTTTGCAACCAATTCGAACCCTTCGAGCCCTACCAGCCCTACAGGTGCAGCTGGAAGAAGAAGGGTACGTCCGGGTTCCTCTCAAGACGTGTGCAATCTGTGATCGCTCTTATTGGCAGAAATCATTATGTTAAATCCAACCCTGCCCTATATCCATCAAGATGGCTGCATTCCAAATATGTCGTCTTCCTCGCATCTCTCGCTCTCAACCCAATGTTACAATATTTTGTCCTTGTCCTTTCATTCTTTTGTATCAATTACTAATATGTTTACTTTCACAGTCCTCGGCAGGCAATTACGCTGGCCTATCGGGCCTCAAGCGGAATTCTCAAGATGGAAAACTAGCCAGCTATATGGAGCAGAAGCCGGGCGGTGGTGGTGTGCTCAGCGGCTTGTGGGAGAACTTCACCAGAAAATGAGAACCATCAATACCAACCGGGAAAGGGAAGCGCATGGGACTGTCAAGGTATAGGGTACTGGAGACCGCAATCACCTTAACTTTACGGTGCTTATGTGGTTCCGTGGGGTTTGTTGATGACATTTCACGAGACTGGTCTGTGTTGTATTATCGCCATTCACGTTCGATGAATTTGCATTTGCTTCTTACCTTCCTCCACCTGTTGTATTACATAATATTGCTGATAGTTCTCTATGAAGAAGTTTTCATCCAAAAAAAAAAATACAACTGGCCACCAAGATGGTTCTGATTTTGGGCTGGTCTCATGAATCCGACTCCATGTCCTACCAATGATCTTGGATAAATCTCCCATGCTATTGCTTACCAGCCTGAGCCCGTTCTCATTCTTCGTGCCATGGTGACCTGAGGCGCAAGCCTGTTGAACCCATACCCAGCTGCTCTTGAGATACCATGGGCATCATTAAGATCAGTTGAGGTAGCCGATCTGACGGATGGATGGTGTCCTCAGCCGTCATACCGCCTGTACGAAAGAATAAACCCAAATCCCACCCAGAATAGTCCCACTACCATCTTCGGGAAACACTGCACACAGGTGGAGTCTGCGGGACCGAGTGTTTCTGCCTATTACGGACGAAATTTGGTGCCCGTGCCTGGCACTACTAGCATTTCCCTGCGGCTATACGGCATTGGGAGCAACAGAATTTGGGCTGTAAGTGGGTGTCGAGCGAGAAAGAGTCCTTTGCATCCACAAAAGACGGGGTCTAGGGGAGGATGCGTGAAAGCCGGTAAGGAGTAATTGACGCTGAGCGGTAAAATGGACTAAATATCGCTCCTGACTCGCTATCATACTTATATGAGCGAAATTTTGATCTTCTCCAGCTGGCCCCGTTGAAGCGCCTCGCCCTGCATGATCCCATGCACGTACGCTTCACCAACCATTTCGTAATATGCACTGCTGCTCCTGCCATCTTCAGCCGGAGCTATAGGTCGTAGTATGAAGGGCACTCGTGCACCTAGGAGAACAAAGATGTGGTCTCCTGGCCTTAGGGACTTTGGTCCAAGGCCCAGGAGGTTCCCAGCAGTTCGAAATATACGGCGAACCGCGAAGACAGTGCTGGATTGGCGAGCAAATGGGGTTGCTTTCGCTTCTTCGCACAGCACTTTTTGTCGGGTTGCCTCTGTTCTGGCGTCTTCGTCGTTGGGAAGAGCATGCAATTCGGAGTCTGCTCGTTTTTCCATGGCCTCGCCAATGGATATGTAGACATCCTTGCGTTGCAGCGTTTCGCCAAAAGAAGGGATGAGGCTGGCCGCCAGATCGGTAGATGCTGCTAACGTCGTGAGAGGTTTCATGCATTGCATTGCGGCTTGGTATGCCTGCTCTCCCCGTTTCTGCGCTCTGAGCAAGAACATGGAGTTGTGCATGAGTAGGTGCTCGTGGAAGGATTCCCCTAGCGCCCCTGTCGCGGGACAAGCACCGCCGGCGTCGAAATCTGCTATCAGCGTTCTCCAGAAGACTTCAACACGATCCTGGCCAGTTCTAATGTAAAACTTTGGCATCTTCAATAAGAGCGCAGCAGACTTCTCGAAGGGTCCACCACGTATCCCAGCTGAGGTGTCATCATCACCGAGGTCGGTTACAGTGTCAATCCAATACCCAAAAAGGCGTAGTGTCTCTTGATTTGAAGCCGGCAATAGCTCTGGCACAGCCCTTCTCGAGGTATTGAAGATGTCTCCTGTGGCATGCCTCGCAAGGGCAGTTGGTACTGCGACGGTCATATCTGGAACCCACGACGGGAGATCTGTACGTTTTCGTAGCGATCTGTCATCAACATTTGAGAGCATAAGAAGCGATTTGGAGTGGGCAAGGAGTGATTTAGTATTGGCAATGTACACTTCTGCAATGGATTTGGTGTAGTCTGGCCTGATCAGCGGGTTGGGCAGCTTTGGCTCTGCTATATCGCAGAGTCTCGAGATAATTCCATAGAGAGCGAAGAATTTGTCTCGAGGATCCGTGGCAGACCGGCTTCGTATCGCATAGATAAGATGATCAATGTATCCTATGGTCAGGTCCATGTTGTCGCTACCTCCAGCAATATTACCAAGATAGATCTGATAGCTGGGATCTCTTTTGAAGATTAGCTGTCTCAGCTTCATTGTAGAGATAGTGCTGTTGCCCGGAATAAGATTCGAGTGCCTGTTGGCATACCTATTGTTCCACGACAACAAATCTTGCCAGTCTGACATCTGTAAGTGTTTTAGAAAAGCGCTCAAGCTCTTCCATGATATCTTTGTCGCGCCGCAGTAGATATCAATATCCCTAGGAAGCAATATCTCTTGTAATGTCCACGCCCGGGAAAACCAACGCCGCTCGAGGAATTCTGCAAGACCATTCCAAATGTAATCAGGGATCACTTCAGTGCCGAGTCTTGAGTAGATCTGTGGATTTGTGAAGCTGTGAAAGGAATTGTCCGATTTGTCGCCCTCTCTTTTTACTAAATCTTCAAACTTCGGTAATAGTTCCTCCATCAATTTCATGAACACTTCGAAGTCCCACGCCTCCCAGCCGAGCCACACCAGAACCCTCTGTGCAATCCAGTAGATGTCCCCCATCATTTCGACCTGTGTACCGACTTCGCCCTCGTCTTGCTGGTTAATGCACACTTGGTCGATCCAGCAATATCCATGTTTGCCTAATTGATCGAATCGCCATAAAGCAGAGGCCAAATTAGGCTTGATAAGAAGCTCTTTCCCTTCACAAAGGAGAGGTATAAGCGGAATGCGATCGTACTGTTCATGATCGGATGCATCACCATCAAGCGGAAAGCCGTGTGTGTACGACAATGCAGTGAAAGGCGGTGCGTTATCTAGGTCTACTACCTCCACCTTACATCGAAGGTAACCACCTTTTCGAGGCAGGAAATCGAGAAGCCGAATCTGTCGCGGTTCCTCAAGGGGTGCATATTCGTATGGCGGAGGTCTCTTGAGCAAAGATAGAGGCCAAGTGGCCCACAAGTAGCTCACGGCACTAAGCAAAAGCTCCATCCAGCAACAGGGTTAGCAACCGGATTGTTCCTGCATCGATAGCGCCTGGGCAGGCCTCTCCATATGCCGAGTAGTGGGCCTTGGAAGTCACTTCGATATAGATAATATATATATGAAAAGAAGCAAGATCGAGGATCTGCTGTGCAAGGTGCATGATGTCTCGGCGGCATCTGACACCAACAAGCTGAAACGTCCTTTGTCATTTGTGGATCGCGCATAATAGACGCCCTGCCTTGTTCAGGGTTGGCCAGGGGGTTATTCCTCAAGAGCCTCGTCAATCACCAATGCCAATTGCAAGTTAGGCCAGTTGCTCTAGTATCGTTGCATCTGATGTTGAATCAGAAAGCTGTACTCCTACTCAAGAACATTTCGAACATGCTACCAACGAAGCACTTTAAGGAAGAAAATTTCAAAGCATGAAGAGGTGGTAGAAGACGGAGGTGTAATTCAAAGCGCCTCCTGGAACGGATCGAGGCTGGCCCTTTACCGAATCGGGAAAGCGCCCTTTTGAGGCGCCTGCACTTTACAAGTGCCAAACTTGCTGGGGATGAGTCAACATAATCCAGAGACTTCTCATTCCACAGGATTCAATGCGCTTCGAACTATCTGGTAATAGTGAATCCAATTGAGCCTGCAACCTGAGCGAAGAATAAGCAGCCCTGAGCATGGACTACTCCAAGCTCCCTGTGGGGGCCAGATTCTGGGCCACTCCCCGCTCAGAGAGCCTAGTTTTGTGCCCTTCAGGTTGTTAGGTTCCCATTCCCGGCCCCTACCACTCATGTATGCTTGCCCTTCGATGTGTCACAGTCAAGGTTGCTGTCCACGTACTCTATATTCCCCTGTAACTCGGCTTTCCGCAAGGCTCATACCGGTGGGCTGACATGAAACTCGCCCCAAGTGCAATGAATCATGATGTCCTCTCGATTATATTTCATTCCTATCGCAATACGAAGTACTACTCCTAAATGTTTTCATGTGCAACTAAGTGTGCTTAGTGTTTCCACTGCCGCACATCATGGAACCAGTCTCAATAATTGGCATTACAGCTTCAGCCTTTACACTTGTCGGTCGCCTCAGAAAGACTCTAAATTTTATTTTGCAGCTGTCTACGAAACTCAAATATGCTAATGCTAAGATCACTCTACTCATTGGCTATCTGGCAAGTATAAATGCCGCCATCTTTGAAATAGCCAAGATCATCGAAACGCTTTCCGAATGTACCAAGTATGAGAAGCTGGTAGATTCTCTACATACCACGCTCAAGTGCACGAAACTCTCTCTCTCATTCCTTGAATCGAAGATTGAACGATTGAGATCAGATTCTCAAGATGATACAAGCATGATCAATAAAATCACTATGATTTTGAAGGATGCGGAGTTCAACAAGTACATTAATAGCATCAGCAGTTATATAAATGCCCTTAACCTCTTACTTAATGTTTTGCAAAGGTTTCCCTCTCCCTCTTCAGCTCCGTGCTTTCTAACACTTGGTAGCCGTTCTTTGCTAGAACAACAAGGCACCCTAAACAGCGCAGAAGCTCAGAGTATCATAGAGGCCATGGAAGATGAGACATCCTCCATTTTCTGTATCGCAGATAGCGGATCAATTACGAGTCAACGGAGCAAAGGCTCAGAGTTTTCTGCAGCTTTGGACATATCCTTTCAGTTTGATGCCGAAATACTGAGCTCGAGAATCTACGCTGTCACATATCGGTCGCACCTGAGACAGGTTATTGCTTCTAAAAAGCATGAAGATACCACCCTTATAATAGTAGCTCAAGAGTCTCCGAGAGTCAGGGGGGGTCACACTAACATAGACCTCCTTTCTCTAGACCGACAGGCGGATATCAAAATAAAGAAGCTTACCTTAGGTACGCCGAGAGAGCATCAGCAGGAATACCCTAAGCAACTACCTCTAGTTCCTACAATCAAAAAGATTACCTCCGGCAAGATCAACAGTAACTTAATTTTGAATAGAACAGCTAGGAACCCCCAATCGCAAGAAGAACCCAAAAAGCCATATCCGAAACAGAGTAGCCCCACCCCATTATAAAATAGACCTACAACAGATATAAGAGGTAAAATGTGGCCATCTTTACCAGAGGGTCTACCGCACCGCACTCGTCAGGTCAATGCTTCAAAAGTCAAGCCCTTGGAAACTACAAAGCATGCGGAACTCGTGCACTCTCCCCAATTAAAAATACTTCTCTTAGGCGTCTCGGACAGCGGAAAGTCAATGTTACTGAAAGCCATAAGATTATTCCAAGGAAACCCATGGACAGCAGAGGAACGGGACTCATTTTCAGAAATAATTTTCTTTAACGTATGTAATAGTACTCAGGTTGTCCTAAAGGCCATGGAACATTTGAAGATACCCCTAGGCTCGAGCGAACTTAAGGGTCATGTTCAGACGATTTACACGCAGTCAAAATACCTGGAATCCATGCCGCCAGAGGTTCATTCGGCTATTGCAGCCCTTGCGCGCGATCGAGGCTTTCAGGAGGCCCTCAAACAACGAAACCAACATCACGCCGGTGATAACCTAGATTTGTAAGAGTCCTCGTCGTTACATCAACAAGGCTAGTCAACGCTGATGCAAAAGTCACAGTTTTTTAGATTCAATAGCCCGCCTTTTCTCGCCGGGGTATCTTCCAAGCGACGAAGATATTCTCCGCTCCCAAGTCTCTACTCAAGGCGTAACAGAGACGATATTTACCGCTGAGAAGGGTTCTCAGGGCGATATCCTAAAATTGGATGTTTACGATATTGGAGGTAGTAGGCCTTGCCGTAAAAAGTGGAAACATCTCTTCAAAGAAGCTGATTTGGTTCTCTTCACTGTCGACATTGGATCCTATGACCAAGTCTTTTTCGAAAACCGGTCCACAAACAGTATGCAAGAGGCTCTAATGCTTTGGGACTCAATTGTCAATAGCAGGTGGTTTACCGAGACTACTTTTATCCTCTGCTTTACAAAGCAGGCGAAGCTTGCAGCCAAGATAAAAGACGCTCCTCTAGCGTTGTATTTCCCGGGCTTTGTTGCCAGCGACCTTCCAGATCTCGATAGTGCTACAAATTATATCAATCATTACTTTCTGTCTTTCAGGCAGGCTCCTGAAAGGCCGACCTATACCATGGTTCTGCCAGATCTTCCAACAAAGGAAGATTGGGAAGCAATGAAAAACTTTTTTTGGGAAGTACATGAAAGAAAAATGGAAAAGCTCAGCTCGGGAGCCCACTTTTGAGATAATGCTCACGAGACGGGGGATGATCCAGATTGTCCATGGTGAGGGCGTGTATATATCGGATATCGGTGGTATGGGAAGACGAGAAGGGAGGTTGCATTGCCTCACTGACAACAAAAACACACCCCATCCTCCACCACATATGATGAAGAAGTCATCTTCTCTCTCGCCCTCACAAACACGGGTTCCGATCCGGGCACCCTGATACTCCAGATATACATCTCCCGCATGGACAAAGTTCCGCGGACAAAATTGAGTGGGGTTGGCCAAATTGGTGTCTGGGGAATCTGTCCGCCGCCTGGTACAAGTACGATTAGGATCACAGTGCGTTTTATACGTCCCCACATTTTTACAACAAGAAGTTGAAGATATTTGTCCTTATGGAAGATTTCTATCCTATCGATGGCCCCTTATCCCATCTTATATGAATGATATGCTGAATGACGAATTTCTTTTCTCCGTTGAAAGGTTTTTTTTGGGAAGCTCGCTGTTGGCATCTGTGGGTCGATGGGGAGTGTTCGGCGCTCTAGGGGCTTGACCTAGCTCGTTAGGTAAATCAAAGCGATGCTCCCCTACTCTAGAGAGTGCTTGCATCGGTCTGAACTCTCCGGCCCCACTCCAACGCTCTCCGCATCCCAGACAAGTTCCTTGTCCAAAGCTTCTTAGCTACATTTTAGTGGCAGTCAGCTACTTTTAATGTACAGTTACTACGCAAAAGTCTGGGTACAACCCCCACTTTTACACCAAAACCCGCACTTTTTAAAAGTCTATGTTGACTTTTCCAGTTAAATAATCTATATTAAATTTTTAATATATTATAGAAAATTACTTAGATTAATTTGTACTAGTTAGAATATTATAAATTAAGTACATGTAAACTTATAAAATGATAATGAAGAGAAGCTCTTACGTAGGTACTTTTTTTGGGTGTAAAACTCATAGTTACTAAAATTTGTATCCTTTTCAATTTAGAGGATTAAGTTTTTAATCTCTTTAATAAAAGATAGGATATAAATCTATTAAAGATATTAAATAAGACAAATAAATATTTAGATAAATTACTATATAACTAATAAATAAAATAATGCTATTAACGCCCCGTAATTAAAGTTATTGCTAAGTAAAACATGCGGGTTTTAGTGTAAAACATGCGATGTACCCAGACTTTTGCGTTAGTACTGTACGACTCTGTATTACCTCAAAATATAGAGCGGAATTTTACCCAGACCTTAATTCGTTAAATACAACAAAATACCCACCAGGTAATATCTAATAAACACCAGCTAACTAACCCGTTTCAAGCACCGCTTTTTAACCTAGCCGGCACCCACACATCCAACTGCCGCTGCTTCATACTGTAACAAGAGCAGTCACAGAACATGATAAAATTCTGAGGGATGCGGCTGAAACGCTCGAAACACACAAAAGGGAAGCACCGCAACCGCAACGGACGACTGCACGGCCCTCCGGACCGATGTTTGTAGGTAGCAGCCATAGGAATTTGGGGATCAGAGTCTCGCTATGCATGCATCATTATCAACAACTTCACCCTTTCTTTTTCTTTTTCTTATTCTCGTTTTGAAAATTTAATCTTTGATTTCGGTTGATTCTGATCACTTTGACCTTGCTCTGTTCCTCTGATTCCGTTGAAGCCCATTCGATCTCCTATCAAATAGTTATATCTCATCATTTCTTCCTAAGATATCTGAATTTTTAGTATGTCTCAAGAAACTCACAGTCGACCAGGAGGTGGTTATGGACGACAAGCCCCGATCCGATCATCTAGTGACGAGTCTGGAGCAGCAGCGGCACCAGCAGCAAGGGGACCAACGCTGCCTGCTCAGCGACGAGCAGCATCTGCTTGGACTAGTGGACGCGGCCCTACAGACCGAGAACACCTACCACCACCACGACGGCCTCCAACTGATCGAGCAAATGAACCAGACAAAGAAAACCAACATCGCAGTGGAATCGTTCCAGCAAGGAGACTCGACAGGCCTGCTGGACTGGCTTATATGGAAGGGAATCCGCCAAGGCCTGTAAATCCGGATAACCAGGGCGCGGCCATTGGTCGTAGTACTCAGGTTGT